ACCAAATCACCAAAATCTGAAACTTCAAATGCATCTGGTCAGTAGGGAGCAAATAAGCATTAGTTGAAAAAGTTGACTTTAAAGTACTCCTTTAAACATGACCTTCCTTTCTTGAGATGTTGTGAAATGATAACAAAACTGCAGAAAAGTAAAAGACATCAACGACAGGATGAATGTTACACTTTACCTTCCAGAAATCCTCCATGGTTGACAGGCTCCTAAAAGTAGAGGGATCCCCGGCAGACAGCCGCGTGTCCAGGAAAAGCTGAGACATGACTTTGGTGTAATGGTACATATTTACACTCACCATCCCATAGGTCACTGCAGAACAAATCAGGATATGACAGGAAAGAGAAGGAAATTTCTATTAGCACCAGCAGCAATGACACAGTTTACATGCACTCTGACTGTGTAAGGACCCTATGAACATTTAAATTCAAAATTAGGCTGAATCTACTTTTAATTTTGTAATGCATTATTATTCTCTGTGGTTTTTCAGTAGTTCTGGAAAATGCCTTTAACAGTCGGGCTCAGGCTGGCAAAATAAGCCTTAATGGTGTCTGCCAGGAAATCATTTCCTGATCCACCCTAAACCACACTTTGGCATTTTTTATTGCAGCAAGAAGAGAGAAGGGAAAACTTTACCATGAGTTCTTTTTATTTTATTTTAACTTTCTTCCCAAACATGCCACTTCTTTTTGCCATTTGAAATTTGTGCTGTTTTTTTGAATTTATGCCCGTTGACAAATGCTGAAATTTAGATTTTCTGGCAGACTCATTAAGCTGTGAGTATGGAAAGTAAATTTTCAGCAACAGGACAGATGCCACATTTTAAACTGTCCATGAGTCATTTTCAGTTCATTCCACAACTGTTATCTGGAGCTTAATTTATGCTATCTATCAGGGGGATCTCCTAAGTATTTCTTAATAATGATCAAAGTAATAAGTCACTTCTGAGGAACTACTCCTAAAGGACACAACAAGACTCGCATGTTTACTTACAGATACAGATGGTGATCAGGAATGCGATATATGTGAGCATCTCCCTCAGTACATTCCTGAGGTATCTTTCTCGACTGCTGTCACTCTCCTCCATCAGCTCTGTGCCCCACAGAACTACAAAGGAAACAGTTAACTATTAACGTGCAACATTTACACAGAGACAAAATGTGCAACTATCTCAGGAAAGTTTAGAAGAGTGACAACACTCGAGGCTTCCATCTTTGCATAAAACCTGAGATAAATAAAGGCTTTGACACATCAGGACAATATTAGTGCAATTATTAAACTCAGATTTACTGATAACAATAGAGAAGAAAGCGGTGGTCATACAGAATTCAAACATATATGTGATTCCTTACTTTAATGGACGAAAATAAAGTATTGTTTTTTATTATGCGTGCATCGTCTTTATTAACAGTTACAAAGTAAAAACACAAATAACACTTAGTAAAAAAATAGCATGACTGTCAGTGAACCGTACAAGTTTTTTTTTGGCGTTATTCTTTACAATACGAATAAAAAATCGTCACCTACTTCTGATTTTCTGGAGTATCTGCTTCAGACAGCTGGGGTGCCCATGCCTGTCTTGCTGCTCCAAAGTCGGGGTTGGATAGAGTCCTCCTCGGGGGATGTTGGTGCTGCTGCCCCCACGGTTGTAGCTACCCAGACCGCTGCTGCTGCAGCTGCTGCCGGAGGCCGTGGACGCCGACCTTCTCCCGGGACTCGCTTGAGGCCAGTCTGCTTCCATGATCTCGTCCTCTGGTTCAAAACCCGGGTTATCCCGGCTCCACGCCTGTCGCGAAGGTGGGGACGGGGTGCCTACGACTCCACCGAGACCCAGGTCTTGATGCTGGATGTTCTCCATCTCTATCCCTTCACTTGAGTCGAGTTTGTTTGCCGACCTAGCAGCCTGGCTCTGAGGCAGCTGCTGGGGTCTGACTCGAGATGAACTCATGGTCCAGCTATTATTATTATTTATTTATGTATTTTGTTATTATAATATGGTGCGGGCATGCGAAAAAGCTAAATGTTACCCATAAACAGCAGTGACTGAAGCTTTCAGAGGTGACAAACTAAACTGTTAAACGCCTTAAAAAACAACCAAACAAATAAAGCAGAAAATTAGTCAAATGGCCAATTGAATGAGATCACAAAACCTTGCCGTGTGCGTAAAATTCACGGTAAAGAGATCTCAGTAACGATGTCCTGCTCCTCATAGCTAATGCAGTAGTTTCCACCCTCAACAAACCGTTAGAAACTTCCCGAAAAGTCCCGTGAAAAACGACGTCCGTTTCAAAGTGATGCCTTTAAAGTGGTTAAAGTTGTTAGATAAACAGGTATTTGGACTGAACTGTCCGCCGCATTAAAATGCCGTGTTTACGTGAAAAAAAGAAGATAGTTTTCTCATCCCGGGACAGCCATCTTGTTCTTGTTACTCTTCCCCAAAAAACTCCTTGGGTTGGACTCGGGTTACAGTAGAAGTCATGGCGTCGCAGTAAAGGATGGAAAATACCACAGGGGGAACTTTTTTTTTAATGAAATTGATATAAAAAAATTTTTTAACCCCAATGTCTTAATAAAACTTAACAAGATTTCACTGTTTGGATTTACAGCGTGTAAAAGGTGTAGGGTTGTATTTAATTAGTAAAACCCAGAATTCAGAATTTGAAAAATAGTTGTAATTTTATTTGAAAACCTTTTTTTTTTTTAGCTTTCTTTTAACAACCAGTAAGCTTTGCACTTACTGAAAATGTAACACAGGTTTTTTTTATAAAGTTACACAAGCGCTGCGTGTTTGGGTCTGTGGTTGCTATGGCAACAAGGCACTGGGCTAAGAGGAGCGTACTGACAGGAGGTCAGAAATTTCAGTGCTCCACATGCAAAAAACAAACCAAACCAAACAAAAAACCCCGTCAAACTCAGCGGGAACTATATTTGATCTGCTGCATTTTAGCTTCTAAATAAAATGCATGATCATGGCCGTAAATTGGTCAAGCTGACCCTTTGGTAATAACGTGCTTTCACACTGGGCTTCTGTAGTTATACATGGGTGTAACAACAACTCTAAAATCTCAAGCACATATTTAAAAACAAACTCCACAAACAAACATGGTTTCAGTGATTTTGTTTAGTTCGGTAATGATGTTAAGCTACGGTCTGCTTTCCATTTTGTTAGTTACTATATAATTTAATTTGTATTATGTGTTTTCATGTGTCCAAACATTATGGAAAAAAATTTTCTCAATACTTTGGAGGTTAAAAAAAAATTGCACTTTCGGTTTTTTTTTTTTTTTTTTTTCCGGCCTTTTGTTAAGCCTTGTTATTGGGGTTTTTCCTTTTTTATTGCCCGGTTGTTCGGGTTTTGCTTTTTTTTGCCTTTTCCTTCTTAATTTAAAACCAAGGTTTTTTGTTTTTAAAAAAACAAGCTTGTCTGATTTCCAGATTGTAGATATTAAAAATGTACAAGTCACCCATCTTACAAAATAATTATTTCGACTTTAACTTTTATATATTTTTTAAAACATCAAATCAGCAAAACTTTGCCTATTCACCTAAATTTAGTAAACCAAACTGTTTTAAGAAACATTGTAAAAGTATTAAATCAAGCTTTTTTTTCTATTTACGTCAGTGACAAAACACATATATCAACCACCAAGCAACCAAGATTCATTATTTTTAACCTTTCCCTACATTTTGTGCAGGTTTTTATTCTTTCTTTTTTTCTTTCTTTTTTTTACCAGCAAAGAAAAAAATGTCCCACAGTAACAGGCATTAAGCCTGTTTGACCACATGGTGGTGCTTAATATCCACTTTTGGGAAACCCAAAATCAAAGATAGAGTTAAATGTCAGAAATCATGCTTCACTGTTGTTTCATCGGTTTAAATAACCTCACTTTTAGTGTCAAGTCTCAGTTAAGTTTCACAAAGCTTTCTTTTGCTCTGTCTCCACAGGTAATTAATCCGAAGACAGAGAAACATACAGTAAACATCTTAGAGCAGAACAGTCAGTGCACACAAATCAAAATAAACTAACAACTTTGACTGAGAAACGGTCTTGCCCTGGTGTACTGGAAAAATATTATGTCATCTTTCGACTGATAGAGATGAGTTTCTTCTATAGTTGTCAGGTGGGTTTTCATGGACTATGATGCCTGCAGACAACACTGTAATCAATAGTGAGAATAGGGAGCAGGTGGATGAGTTTAAATACCTAGAACAGAGAACAGAGGGTGGTGGCAAGTGAAAGGGAAGGTTTACAGCATGGTAGTGAGACCTTCTGTGATATGTGGTTTGGAGATGGTGGGACTAAGAAAACGACAGGTAACCAACGTACAGGTGGGAGAGCTAAAGATTTTCTTGAGAGCGACCAGATAGAAACTGAGTACATCAGAGGGACAACTCGGGTTGAGCAGTTTGGAGACGAGGATAAATGGGCAAGGCTGAGATGATTCGGATATATGAAGAAGAGGGATAGTGTATATGTTGGACAGAGTACTGTTGAATATGCAAAGATTCATGGATGTAACGGAGGACATGCAGAGGGTAGGTGTGACAGAAGAGGATACTAGTGATAAGGAGAATTAGAGGTGGACCCCCTAAATGGAACAGCTGAGAATAAGGAGAAGAAGTTGTTCACAGTTAGAACTGGTTTGTAATGAGATTTTTACCAAAAGAATGCGTTGTAATCACAGAATTATGGATTTGATATGCACGTTTAAACAGTATACAGTATGCATGTTATTATGCATGCAGTATGCATGCTACAGACAATTACGTATATATCAACATAGACGATATCAAAACACCGCAAAAACCTCAATGCAGGGCAACTAAAGAGTTTAAAAACACTCCTGTCCATGAGTACCGTTTCAATTACGCTCCACACGTTTGCGGATAGTTTTTGTAGGGGCGTGGTTATTTATCTGACGTCACTCTCTTTGTTGCCCAGTGTAATCAGTCCATTGGCTCAATTTGTGTAATGGGGGTTCCCAGCCCCGGATTGCAGGGGTACAACAATAAATCGAAGCTATCGCTTTAAATCTTCAATCTCTGGTAGAGCAGAGATCATAAACTGTCAGTGAGAGCAGCGTGGGAAATCGCACAGTATCTCATTTGGGATTTTCTGTAATTCAGAACCCTTTACAGTCGGTTGCTCATAATTATTTATTACACACCATTCTGTCTACATAGATAGGTCTTTCACAAGGTAAGTTAGCATTCCCCTAAGCTAATGGTTACAGCATCAGCTAGCCTAATGTTAGCTGCATTGTGTAGTTACACCGCAACTATTCCAATCGATTACAACGAGTAATAATTCAGAGTTGGCGACTAAAATGTGTCATTATTGTGCAAATATTCCACATTAGCTGTGTGGTTAGACGTTTTAACTCTGAATCAAGTTAGTTAAATCGTCTTCCTTTGTTGTCTCTGAGAGCTAGCATTAGCTCTTAACTTGTTTCATTGATAATAGCTGGACACTCAGGCGTTGGCTAACAGAAGTGTGAGGGAGCTTTATCTTACTTGGGCTTTGTAACAAATTTTAAAAGAGTGAGTGGATAGTATCAGTAGTGGAACCTCTCTGTTGGTTAACTACAATGGCAAATGCCCTAGCCATTGCTAACGCCGGGTTTAACATCAGGTCGGCTTGATTTACACGAGCTCTGCCTTCAAACAGCTTGCTAGTTGTATGTATGTGTGGATGTTGTCTGTTTTCCAGGGTTGCGTGTAAATGAAATATGCCCGCTGTCTGAACAAGTGGTCCCTGTCGAAAGAAAAAACGACGACGCCACAACTCAGCTAACGCTAGTGTTAGCCAGTTAGCAGTGTCGCAGGCTCCGAGTTTCGATTCAGTTTGCTGGGCTCGTGTTAGCAGTTTACGGTGACAGCAAAGAGGCCGGTAGTGGCATTCATATTCATTCAGTCCACTATATAACGTGTGTCAGCTTAACGACGTTTCAGTGCTCATTAAACTTCTAAAACTGGCGCACATACGGTGCGGTTTTTGGATCCGTCTGTTAACGTGATAAACGTGAAAGATGACAAAATGTGGTTAGACGAAAAGGCCCTTTATAGCAGGCCACTCATCTACATATGGTTACGCAGATATAACACATGAACGTGATGTACAGTTGCAACTCGATTTAGCGGTAGTTTCACTGGCTTTCTCCACTCGTTAACCAGAGCACCTGCACTACTAGCTTCCCTTTTTAATCATCAGCTGGTTTCCCTCTTTGTCTCATTGGATAGACGTGATGGCGCAGTTGAATGTCGGCTAGTGTATTAGCCAGCCAGCTAAACAGTCAACTGTCTTGCTTCTGGTATGGAGTTAATGTTGGTTTGATGAAACGTGGGCCTAGACGACGAAAACGAAGCGCTTTTCTAGCAAAGAGGAGACCTTTCTGTACTTCCTGTACTTGCTGCTCAGATACATCCATGTTTACCTCAGGCACTGCAACTGCGTGTGCTCAACATGGACTTCCTTAAAATGGCCTGACCGCAAACAATGCACGATGCGCTTTAACTGATTCTGAACTTCATTTTCTGTGTCCGTCACTCAGTTGCCACTCTATTATGACTGCCTAGCTTAAGCCAGTGCTGTAAAATGCAGATGTAATCCTAGTGGAGGAATTTTGAGTGTTGCTAAAAATATATGGCCGTTTTTCGTTTTGTTTTTTGTTAGTTATGCACGGTGTTGTTTAATAGTATTGAGTTATCTTAAGTATTATGTGGTAGTCTTTCCACGATGTTTTTCCACAAACTAAATATTTTCACTTTTGCTAATGTGGTTTAGGGTATGTGTAATCACCAACTGAATGTTTAAATGCATGCTCTTCACAGTATTATAACTAAATCCTGGTCGTTTTTTGTTTTGTTTTTTCATTTCAGCACTTAATATTGTTTACCAAAGAAATGGTGATGGAGAAGCCAAGTCCCCTGCTTGTAGGGCGGGAGTTTGTGAGGCAGTATTACACACTCTTAAACAAGGCACCAGATTTTCTGCACAGGTAATTGCAAAATGTTTACATGACAGTCTATTTGATGGGAAATTTGTGCATGGGTAATGATGCTTTTTAACTTGCGATTAGGTTTTACGGGAGGAATTCTTCCTACGTTCATGGAGGACTCGACCCAAGTGGAAAGTTGGCAGAAGCAGTGTATGGGCAAGCGGTAGGTACTGTAGCCCCAGTTCATTAATGGGGTAATACTTAATTTTAGTGAAATGTCATTTTAATGGAATTTAAACGTTTTAAATAAGTCGCTGTCTGCAAAGAATATATGTATGGGGAAGTAAAAAAATGGTATTATTAAACTGCCAGAGGTAAAAATACCATCTTGCACCCTGAGCTGATGTATACTTATAAAATTAAAACACACTGGGTAAATTCTGCTGATTTTTAACCTGCCAAATTAGTAATTAAAAGTTTTTTGAGAGTCTAGAAATAAGATTCCTATTTTCCTAGTTCCTTCATTTTCTCTCTTTTTTTTTTTTTTTTCTCCCCTCCCTGCATATTTTAGGAAATCCACAAGAAGGTCATGTCGCTGCAGTTTAGTGAATGCCACACAAAGATCAGGCACGTGGATGCTCATGCCACACTGAGCGATGGAGTGGTGGTACAAGTCCTCGGAGAACTGTCGAACAATGGTCAACCCATGAGGAAGTTCATGCAAACGTTTGTGCTTGCTCCCGAGGTGAGTGCTTCTACCTCTTGGTGCTCCCACATGTCTCAAAGTGGCCTCACAATAAAGGGAATAAGTGAATAGTGTTAGGATCTTGGAAAGAAAGCGACTAGAAGTTTTGTGATGACATTTCACCTCTCATCCAAGAGGCATCTTCAGTTCTGAATAATTGCTGAACATCTTTATGAAACTCGCTACTTGTGAAAAGTACAGTTGCTTTCTTTCCAAGATCCTTAAACCACCATGACCTGGATGACTGAAAACCTACAAAGACTAATAAATTCTTATCAGGGCTACACAAGACCAGCCTAATTGAAAAGATATACATGAAGTACTGTAACATGTGCCGTTTGTGTATAAATATTAAATAGTTTTTCTTTTCTTCTTTTTTTCATGTTCTCAGGGTTCAGTGGCGAACAAGTTCTACGTCCACAATGACATCTTCTGTTATGAGGATGAGGTTTTTGGAGACTCCGAAGCTGAGCTTGATGAGGGTGAGATTTTCATGAGTGACTTTTCTTTTTCTTAAAACTAGTGAGTTTAAGTAATGTTCATATTTTAAAGTGCTTTTGGTTTTTTTTGGTTTTTTGTTGTTTTTTTTAACTATTTTGCTTCCGCAGAATCGGAGGAGGAGGTTGAAGAGGAGCCAGAGGAGAGGCCGACTTCCCCTGAGCCACTTCAGGAAAGCCCAAACAGCAGCACCTATTATGAACCTCACCCCGTCAGGTACGCAGAACTTGATTAGAACTCGGTGCAATCAAATGTAAGATGAAAGTCTCTCAAATATGATCCGTCTGCGGAGGTGACTCATTTGTTTCATGTTTCCTTATTTGTGGTCTGCAGCAACGGAGTTGAAGAGCCCATGGAAGAACCAGCTCCAGAGCCGGAGCCGGAACCCGAACCAGAGCCCAAGGTAGAGGAGACGAAGCCCGAGGTCGAGGAGAAGGTTCTTGAAGAGATGGAGGAGAAGGCACCCTCACCAGTCCCTGTGGAGTCTCCACCAAACACCCTGGAGCCTCCCAAGGTGAGGAGAAATGACTTCTTAGTGGTTTCCATCTCATATTACAAGGGGCAATACAAGTTCATTGAATCTAAAGTGATGCATTTAACATTTTAGAGAATAACAACTTTACTGTGATCCAGTTTTAAAGCCAGAAGGAAAAACAATGCATTTTGTAATGTTAAGATGCACAGAGCAGGACGATACAGAATCCACATGGCACTAATGCGCTCTAATCAAAGTTACAAACATTGATATGACAGTGTGGCTGTTGAGCATTATCAGTGTAGCCCTAATGATGCGTTACTGTACTCCTAACAGCCTTTCTCCTGGGCCTTGGTGACCAGTAAAAACCTGCCTCCTTCTGGCACAGTCACCTCTTCTGGAATCTCACCCCATGTTGTTAAGGCTCCAAGCTCACAGGTAAATAACTACCATGAGTTTATTAACTTAAAAACCAAGAGAGCTTGTTGTAAATTAAACCTTAATAATGAGATACTGTAGGTGCCCCTCTGATAGGTGTAGGCCCTTCTTAGAAGTCTCTTGCAGTGCTCATTTCAAACGTGCATCACATTGAATGTTTGTGATGAAGAAGAGCAATAACTTTGGTACACATGTGTGAATGACCTCTGCTCATTGAAAAGGACACTAACACGTGTTTGGACTTTTCCGATTTCATGTGGCAAACAAAATAAAAATTTTCATTTGGAACCAGGCATATTCAGCATATGCAGTCTCCTCAAGGAAAATATGGAGGAAATTCAGCAATTCTTTAAAACCTGAAGCAACCGCTTGAATGCTAACAACCAATATGTTGAACAACCAGTAAAAAGGAAAAGTTTTGTCAGGACAAGATCAGAATGACATACAGCCCCAGCACAAAAGGACAGATTTCTGTCTGATCCTAGATAAAGCTGAGATGATATTAATTTCTTATTTGCGTTGTTTAGCCCAGAGCCGATGCAAAGCCGGAGACACAGACGGCACCTCTTCGCCCCAGAGACCAGCGCACTCGCGACAGACCAACCTTCACTCCACGGGGTCCCAGATCTGGTAATGCTAACACCGACCTCCTCAGATTGAAGATTCCTCTGTTTTGGTTTTTTGTTTAAATCTGGTTTATTTATACTATCTGTACGTCTGTGTTGCTTTTTAGATGGCGTTGCATCTTCAGACTCTCAAACAGGAAAACAGCACTTGAGTTTTGTGAACAAAGGTAAATATTACTGTTTAAAGCACTTGTTTTATTTCTTACTGAGAACATTTTTCAGTTGTTGATCCGATGTGTGATTCTACATTTTCATTGCCTGTTGTTCTGATTTGCAGGTAGCAGGGGCGATTCAGAGTCTGGTGACACGGATAGCAGGCGAATTGTTCGGTACCCTGACAGCCACCAGCTTTTTGTTGGCAATCTTCCACATGACATTGATGAAAACGAGCTCAAAGAGTTTTTTATGAGTATGCTTTTAAAAATATATATAATTATTTTTTTAATATATTTATTTTCTTCCACATTAAAAAATATTCAAAATTGATGAATTTTTATTTATCCCCTGATCTTTCAGCATATGGAACTGTGGTGGAACTGCGAATCAACACCAAGGGCGTTGGTGGGAAGTTGCCTAACTTTGGATTTGTTGTCTTTGACGATTCGGAGCCTGTGCAGAGAATCCTGGGGGCCAAGGTAGAAGGGGCATGTATCAACATTTCATTACCCACTTTGTTTCATTTGGTGGTGGATTTTGGTGACACGTATTGCTACATTTCATTTGATGCTAGGGTTCACCTACGTGCTCAGATTGAATACATACTGATTGAAACATAAGTCATTGTTTTCTGTGATATATTTGTTTGCATCCCTTGTCCTGTCAGTCACATATTGAGATTTTAAATATGCAAAGAGGAAAGCAAGATGATGAAGTCAAATTGCTATCATGTCTCCACCCAGAGAAAGGAAAAAAACTTCAAGGGTCTTTTCCTTGAGTGTGTCTAGACTGGTTTCAGACTTTGTTCTCTTCCTGATGGCTCTGTGAAAAATCTTGTTCTGACTGCTTGCACTAGTGCATCTGCAAATTAGCCACTGACAGACAAAACACAACTCTGCTGTCAAACTGGCCCAACTTTCATGCCAAGCATCATCATGGGTCTTTATCAGTGTCCAATCCTGAATCTGTGACATCCAGCCTAGCGCATGTTTGTTTTGTTTTCTCTGTGAATCCATGATGAGACGATAAGCAGATGTGTTACTGCAATTCCCTGAAGTCTCTGCACTACCTTATACCTGCCCACTAAAAATTGGGGGACCACAGTAACAAAATGTCTGCACACCACCAAACCCAGTCAAAAGGTTTTGCCTCTTCTTTAACAAAATTGGAGTTCAAGTTAAAGAGTGGCCATTTTGACACAGTGGAGAAGATCCAGCACACTGATGCATAAGTGCAGGTGTAAAGAATCATATTTTCAGGGAGTGAACAAAAATGGAAGCTCTGCCTCAACCAGTCCTGCAGACATGCTCAAGTCCTTTTTATTGGGTGGGGAAAGATTTTGCTGTTTGAGGCTGGGGTTATCAGTGATGCCCACGAGACAAGAAAAATCCAGGAAATTGCATTTGATATTGAAATTGATGCCATTACACAGCAGCAGGTAATAGTGGGGTTTTATTGGTCAGTGAGGTGGTAAGGATAAACCTTAAAAACACGCTTTTCAAGTTGGCAGCAATGTCAATCTCACCAGTGTCCTTTCACTCTGGGTCGCTGCCACCTGAATGAAACAGACCTGGAGAGTAATGCTTAAATAGTCTGGGAGAGGAGCAAAGTGAAACTGACCGTGCCCTTCTTAATTTTCCCTGCAGCCCATCATGTTTCGAGGCGAGGTGCGTCTGAACGTGGAGGAGAAGAAGACGAGAGCAGTGCGTGAACGAGAGACCCGTGGGGGAGACGAACGTCGGGACATGAGGCGCAACGATCGGGGTGCCGGAGGTTCACGAGGCGTCGTGGGAAGCGGGATGATGCGTGATGGAAGGGGACCGCCGCCTCGTGGTAGCATGGCCCCCAAACCCGGCATGGGCTCTGGAAGGGGCTCCAGTGGCCAGGGAGAGGGCCGCTTCACGACCCCTCGTCGCTGAAAAGAGCGCCCCTCCTCCCTTCAAGTGTGGAAGTAGTATCGTGTTCTTCATCTTCAACCGTTCTCGTTAACGAAAAGAAATCTTCATGTATAAAAGTATATATTTGTTTTTGTTTGGTTTTTTATTTTATTTTTTTGTTCCCTCTATGCTTTGGAATGTGACACAGCCTGTCAACCATTTGTTTGTGAAATAGACAAAACAAAATAAGCAAACAAAAAAAATGTCGCTTATTAGTTGTGAGCTGAGCATCCTTTTCAGGTTTCTCAAGAATTCGCAGACTTTAATTTGTAAATTTGCGAGAAGAAGAAGAAGGAAAAAAAGGCAAACCAACCAGGAGTAATCTGCCACATTAGGAGGGACTGATGAGACTTAACCACAATAATACAGCCCATCAAAAGAGATTATATATGCCTTGACTTAACTGGGGCGCTGCTTCAAGAATTCCCCTCTATTGCACATTTTATATGGTATGGTTTTCTGCCCGTCACAGGTCGAGAAGAGTGAGATGCAAAGTTCTGTGCAGTTCCTGGGGGGAAAGCTTGCCTTTTACTTTTTCTTTTTTGAGAGACCACTGCTTCAAAATTGCATAGTGCTCTCATCAATATGCACTAATGGGTACTTTTGTCATGTTACGTTGACATCCATGCTCGGGACGCAGCTGGAGAGACCTGTTTTGTCTCAAAGCGATACGACTTAACCGGGGCAGGCCTCACTCGCAGCCCGTCGGCTGTGACCAATGTACTTTTCACATTTTTGACCCAAAACAACCTTTCGATTACTGCTGGATGGACAAGATAAACAAATCTACATGACACTTTTCTCTCATTTATGAATCAAAAAAAATCCTCTAATCCTGGACTTACACCCGATGAGTGAGGAAACAAAGGATAAATGAGAAACAAAGCTGAACAATAGAAGAGTAGTAATGATGGCGGCTTGCTCTTGTTTTGTTTTTTTTTGTTTGTTTGTTTTTTTTCCCCTCTTGATTCTGAGTGTTTAGTTTTTTCTTCTTTTCTTTTTTTTTTTTTAAGTCCTGCCAGCTAGACTGCGAAACTGGGATGGTCAACACCTCTCTCCCTCTTCCCTCCCTTCCTGTCTTAAGTGCGGAGTAATTGAATAAATGTACAGCAAAAATCATAGTTTACTATATGTTTCGCTTTTCTGTGTATATCCATTTCTCTCTCGACTTGATAAAAGCATGATGGTGCCTTCTCTTTCACCTTTTCCAGTCTTACTAAAGCTAAAAGTGGTTTGGGGCTGCTACACAGCTGCTCTTTTCTTTCTTTTTTTGAACTGGTATCTGCTGAGAGCAGATTTTGAAAAAAAAAAAAAATACTTGCAGTATTCATAAGATTTGTTTTTCAGGTGCATATTTCATTTTCCATACTGTTTTATTACTACAGATAATCTGCTGTGAGTTTTGTACATTTGTTGTAATTGTGTGTCGTGGGTTTTGTAGAGACAATAGGGGCCTCATGCTCTGTTTTGTTAAAACAGCAAAGAGGTGCAGCCCCACATCTGAAGAACTTCATCCTCCAAAAAAACCCAAAAGGTACATTAAAAATGGTGGCAGTGACTTCTTGGTCTTTTGGTTTAACAGGTCATAGCTCCGCACGACCACGATTTCATTGAACTGACGCTTCGGCGATGTCTCAGAATAAAATTCAGACACTAGCCGTAGTTTTGATCGCCTCATGGCAGCAATCGGGTTGACCCCTGGACTCACAAGTTGTCAGACTGTTGTTGTTTTTTTTTTTTTCCTCTGCAACAATTTTTGTAAAGATCTGTATGCGTGGGGCTCGTCGGTCCCCTCCAGCCTACAGACAAGCAAATAACTGCACTCACTTTTCTAGCGTTAAAACATTTGTATTTTCATATGCTGATTATTCACTGTGCATATTTTGAGTTATCTGAATGCCATACATGTCAGCTCCTCCTTGTCCATTAGCATTTTTCTTTCCTTTTTTTTTTTTTTTTTTGTTACCACTGTGTAAGGGAGGGAAGACCTTTTGGTTTCGGCTGGAAAGGAAAACGTGTTTTTCTTTTTTTCCCTTTTGTTATCTTGCACTGAAACGGGAAGTAAAATGATGATGTAGCATTTTTCTTGACAAATATACTAATGAGGTCTTCCTTGTCTGGTGGTTTTGCACTATTTCCAACATTTCTGGGACAATCTCGTCAGTCTCAACACAACAACCTCTCCAAATTTCTCATCTGGCTGCAAAAAAGAAATTGCTCTTCGTAATTAGTGTGAAATTTCTCCTTCTCACTCGCAGTTGAAACAAGACGTGGTAAATAAGTATGGTATCGTCAAGGTAGATTTTCACAGTCATGCTTGGTAATTTTGTGGTATGTTTTCAGATGTGGAAATGGCTTTTAAACTTTAAACTTGGTAACAGCTTTTGACCTAACATTGCAGAAAAATGACAGCTCTTTGGTCCTCGAGTGCCTCAGCCCACCCACCCCCTCCCCACCAAATGTTTATTTGTCAGGTAATTGCTTAACGCGGGCACTTGACTGCAATCATACTTTTTACAGCAACGGTCAATGAAGAGAGTGGTGAAGAAGAGCCATCATGCTTTCACACCGATCTCGTGCTTTCTCCATGTCAGTGGTGGTAAAACGTTCGAAGGTAGAAATTTATAGATGGGTAATTCTTTTCTTGCTGAGGTCTTTAACGACTCATCCCTCTCGAAACTTTAAAGGATCCTCGAAAGGAAAAAGGAAGAAAAAGTGTTAATTTATTTTTCTGTGATTTAAAAGTGCAGTTAATGGATCCTCATTGTAAATCATTCCAACCCTTTTTTTTTTTTTTTAATGGAAATAGAAGTATCTTCTTGGCTTTAGCAAGTGTGGTAAACATTTGGCTGCCATCTTCATTTTACTGTGTTTACCCTTGTTGCTATTACAAAACTGTTGTAGGTGGAGACTTTTTTTCCCCCCCTTTTTTTTTTAACGTTTAGGTCCTTATTTTTCTTTCTTCCTTTCCATTTTGAATGTGTTGGAATTAACATACAATAAACTACTGATAACATCACCGCTCATACCGTTTGTCATGTTTACAGGAGACTCCCCTTGTTGGCCGTGTAAAGTTTAAGCCTCCAAACACAAACTATATTAAACATAGGGTTGTGGAGGAAAAGAGAGACTCCCTGTAAAGTTTCTTGCAAAATTGCTTCTCAAAATAGCCTTAAAAGGTGTCAGAAAGTCTTAAGCTCGCTCATACAAACTCATTTTTCTCTCTTCCAGTTTTTTCCTGTTAGTTTCTGTAAGTGGTTGATGGCTGTCAGCTAACATTTTTAGTATCTGTAACACTGGAGCGATAGATACAATTTTTAACTCCACCCATGCATCAGTTTCCTGCTGCTTAATCCTAATACTAAAACTGATTAGTTCTATTGTTAGGATTGCTAAATTATATTACAGTCCCTGGCTACGTTATTCTTGGTGCTGATATTTACTCAGCCAGTCGCAAGGCAGCAACTGAGTGCATTTTGGCATGTAGACACGACCTGCTGAAGCCCAAACCGAGCATCAGAATGAGGAAGAAAGGTGACTTTGAACGTGGCTTGGTTGTTGGTGCCGGACGGTTTGAGTATTTCAGAAACAGTTAATCTACAACTTTCCCACACAACCGCCTCCAGGGTTTACAGACAATGGGCCAATAAAGAGAAAAATATCCAGTGAGCAGCAGTTCTCTGGGTGAAAATACTTTGTTGATACCAGACGTCAGAGTAGAAGGGTCAGACTACTTTGAGCTGATAGGAACAACAGTGAGTCAAATAACCACTCATTAAAACAAAGGTGTGCAAAAGGCATCTGTGAACACATGTCGAACCTTGAGGCAGACGGGCTACAGCAGCAGAAGACCAGACCAAGTGCCAGTCCTGTTACCTAAGAACAGGAACTAAAATTGGACAACAGAAGGTGTTAAAAAAATATTGCCTGATGTGACGGGTTTCAATTTGTACCCTGATATTTAGGTGGTAGGTTCAGGGTTTGGCGTTAACAACATAAAGTATGGATCCATCCTGCCTTGTATCAATGGTCCACGCTGCTGCTGGTGGTGTAAGAGTGTTCAGGTTCTTTTTTGGCACACTTTGAGCCCCTTACTACCAACTGAGCATTGTTTAAATGCCACAGCCTACCCGAGTCCATCTTTTTAAGACCACATCGTACCCATCTTCTGATGCCCATTTCCAGCAGGTTATGTGCCATGAAAATCTCAGATCGTCTCTGCAACAGTTGTTTGATGCCATCACGCCAACATGGACCAGAATTTCTGAGGAATGTTTTAAGCACCTTGGGCCTATCTGACGGGCAGTGCTTTGAGCAGCTGAAATACAAAAGTAACTATGAAATGAAATAATGTGTATATATAATCTAAAGGAATATATACAAAACAAGAGAAAGGCAAGAGTCTGTTTGTGAGTGGCCTGAGTGACGAGACCGTGGCTCAGATTGGTAAGGTGTGGTGGCCCATCGGAAGACGCTGTTAGTGACCCTGGAGGCTCACCAGAGGGTAGTGGGTCAAACTGGTGGTGTGCAGGGTGCAAGGGATCACCTGTAATGACCCTGGTTTTCCTGAGCCAGGAGCCAGTGATTTCTTGGGCATTGTTAATTACATTGTGCACAGCCTTCCTGTTGTCAGAGGTGGACCATGCGTACCAAACATCCAGGCAGTAGGAGAGCAGTACAAGGCTCCTTTATTTTTTTTCAAGGAATTTAATTTTTAAGGATTAAGGTATGCTCCAATTGTTTTCAGTTGGTGAAAGATCTGGACTGCTGCCAGGCCTCTTCGCCACCCAGACTCCTCTACTGGTATAGAATAGAATAGTAAGTAAGTAAAATGTATTTATATAGGACTTTTCACCGATAAAAATCACAAAGTGCTTCACAATAAAACCAGAAAGATACATAAAATAATAATATGAAACAATTAAAAAAATGAATTAAAAGCTTGTTTGTATAGAAATGTCTTCGGTTACTTTAAAAAAAAAAAAAAAATAACAACCTGTTATTGTCATTGTACAATGAAACTTGTGGACAACACCATGCTGTTATATTAGATGCTGCAGTATGAGGTTTAGTATCATCTTACTGAAATACTCAAGGCATTCCCTGACAGACAGGTCATCTGGATAGGAGGTTATGTTGAAATCCTGTATATACGTTTCAGCATTGATGGTGCTGCTAATCTCATGGGACCTAAAGCACCTCAATACAGTCAGAGATGTATGATTTTCAACCGAGTCTGGAGAATGTGGCATCCATGTTTTTGTTTTTTGTTTTTTTGTTTTTTACCTCAGTTAATGTCTGGAAGTGTTCCTGAGCCCATGCAATGATTCCCTATTTTGATCCCGACTGACTGATTTTCAGTCGTGTCCCTTGTGTACAGAGATTTCTCCAGATTCTTAAAATCTTTTTATGATATTGTGTACTCTAGACGATGAGATATTCCAGGTCTTTTGCAGTTTTACATTAAGGAACATCATTCTGTGATTGTTCCACAATTTAAAGATCCATATTTAAAATGTATAAGTTCATTTTTGGTAGATTAGTAAACCTCTGAAGATGCAGGTGTTGTCGTTCCCATAGCTGACAGAAAATGTGTCCAGGCTTCTCTGTGTGAAGCTTTTAAAAGACACTAGAGGACCACATGTTGCTTTTGCTTTGTCATTTGTGTCATGGCTCTGATGTGCAATGATGAAACTCCACTGCTTTTATATTATTGTACTGGATTGCTTCACTAATTTCAACATAAGTTTATTAAAGACACTGAATTATTGGGTGCATTTGAATCGGTTTGTGGTGCCTGTGCTGTGTGGAAGCAGCTGTGCGCAGGGCTTTAGAAACAAGATTTATGCAAATCAAGATTCACACATAATAAAGGGCACGATCAGTAACAATGAACCCGGCCATCAGAGCAGATGGTAGATGGGGGTTAAGGGCACTGAAGACACAGTTACAGAAACAGTTTTCATTGCTGTAGGAAAATTAAAAGGTAATTCTTTATTTAAACAGCCAAACATGTGCTGTTGTGTTTGTTGGGAAATGATATTTGGTGGCGTGAAGGTTTACTTGTTCTCTTCTGGCTGAATGCTGTCTCTCCGGCTCTTCATTGTGAGCCGGAAGCAGCTAGACATCCATGTGTAGATGTTTACAGCTAATTGAATGAACATTGTCATGCTAATCTCAGCGTTCCTGTAGATTTTTCCCCCTCTTTATTCTCATCCAGATCACACACCACTCAGCAGACCTGAAACTATACAATGTTCCATGAAACACAATTCTTTCTTTGGGCCCATAGTCCCCTGGCAGGTTAATCCAGCCCTGGCGTTACACGCAGGTTAGAATCAAGTAGATCTGGTTTCTGGTTTCACTTTATTTTTCTTTGGTTTGTGCTTGCTCTGAGTGTGTTTCTGTAAACTTTACTGTTTACCTGCTGTTTTCTGTAAGTACCTACACATATAAACTTAGTCACTCTGCTTAAGGATTATTTAGGTGTGTATTTGACAGTTATACCATACCTATTAGTTATATTTCAAAATTAAAAGCAAAAAAAAAAGTCAATAAAATGCATTAGACTGTACAGGTTCAAGTGCCCAACAGTCCTTTCCTGAATGCCTTTCCTGAGGTTTGCACTGTGTCCTATTTATGTGTGACAATTTGATTTCCCTCGGATTGAGCTAGACATATGACAGCAATTATAAGCTGAAATAGTAAAATTCTCCAAAGTAGGTAACAAAGTTATGAATCAGTCATAAAGTGCACACACCAAAACTGTTTTCACTTTGTTAAATCCCTGCACGCTGACTAGGAAGTTTGGGTTGTTTGTATGCGCTGATCCAACCCTGAATTACACCATTAGAATGACCACCTACACAATGAAAAAGGTTCCTGTGTGCTTATGTCTGTCTGCAGGCTAACAATCAATTAAAGGTACAGTAAGTGATGTTTGTGAGGTAACAGAATATTGTATTCATAATTAAAAATTGATTTATGGATTCTTGTAAACTAATTAAGAATTAATACATTAAAAATGCATAAGAGGTTGCCAGTTTTTGTATATATATATTTTTGTATATTATAAGGTTTTAACAATGGACAGCTTTCACCTCCTGCTTGTATAGTTATTGCAACATCTTGTATATGAAATGTGTTTATGTTTTTTTATTTGTTTTATTGGCTGGGGAGAGGGAGGTCTGGGCCTCTTTGCTTAGGCTGCTGCCCCCGCGACCCGGCCCCGGATAAAGCGGATGAAGATGAGATGAGATGAGATTTGTTTTATTATGTGTACTGGTTGTGTTGACTCTATAAAAACCAAATGCCTTCATATTATGGCATACTATGGTCCCTCATAATAACTGTCTACAACAAAAACATAAATAGCCTATTTGACATTAATAGATGTATGATCAATCCTCACACAATGTTTTGGAGAGCAGGGAGAGTGGGTTTAAAAAAAAAAAAAGAAAGATTTTACAACATTTGTTTTTTAAAATATCATATCCTGTCCAGTCATAATCATTCAAGTATAATAAACTGAAAGTGGAAATGTTACTGACACTGAAACAGTTGGTATTTATTACACCTACTTCTGTGTAATTAAAAAAAATCCTCCTAACTGCCATTTATAATTGTATATATTAATTCAGTATTAATTAATACTTCTTTGATCACCAGTTAACCTAACATGTGTTTGTTTTTGAACCGTTGTACTTTGGAGAAGGTCAAACATGTAAACTCCGTAAAGACAGACCCCAGCCAGGATTTGAAGCAGGAACTTGCTGTGAGGAAGTAGTGC